ACAGCTTAGATAGAGTCATCCATGGCACACACCTACTGACGTTTGATGAGAAAATCTATGTGAATGGGTCTCTTTATGAAAATACCAAGAACTTAGTCAGGCGTCACCCAGGCTCGGCAATCTCGGCTACCATAAACATAACTGGTCATCGAGAGATTTTGAGCATGCCCTATCTTCAGAGGCTGAACTTTGAGAATCTTCAATATATTGACAACATCGAAAAAAACTGTCAATATGGCCTATGATGTTTGCAGCATCTTTTGTCACTCTGATCATCGGTCTCGTAGTCTGCAAGGTTTATCAAAAATGCAAAAAGAATAAACAACAAATCTCGATACGAGCTGCCATCGACTCTTTGAGGAAATCCGAGGACGGCCTTCAAACTAGTGAGGGAGGAGTTATCACATCCGGTCAGACAAAGTCAACGACTGCAGTTCTGCGTGATCAGCAAAGCTGCAACAATGCTTAATACCAACTATGCCAAACTCCACACTACGCTGCGTCAACATTCCATGCGCCGTTGCGACATTGAAACATAACCCATTCAACATAATCGCTGACACAGCGATTATAGGTCAGGGCTAGCCTAATATAAGAATATTTTGTCACTTAGCTTTTAGTATGGATTTGACCAATAAACGGATAAGATTAAAATTATTTTCACTGCTATTGTTTCGTGCCGAGATCACAAGCAAGCTATCAGAAATATAATTACTAACTTGCACACATACATTCAAATGCGTGTATTCTTTTCTATTCCAAGAATCAAAATTGCGATTAAACTGTGCTGAATTATTAGCTGCTACTTAACTTCAAATTTGTAACTAATTGTCTAAGCAGTGCAGTGACTGCGTTGGTAGAGGCGGTGCTTGTCGTCCAGTAGTCATCGGGTTCAATCCTTGCGGCGACGAGACATTTTTTATTGTTTTATTTTTTATAATTATGAAGTGGCACCCCGACTAGAGTTTTCTTACTTGTTTGTTCATAAAGTTGGGCTGCTACATATTGAAGGGCATCTCAAAAACGTTGCACTAAACTTCAATAGTCCCATCTAATTGTTCTACCCAGAAATCAGTTGTGTAGATATACGTACTTTGGTGGATTGCGGAAGTGACAACTGCAAATCTTACTTTTTAACGTCACGTTGGCCATTCTATGCTTGCGTATGATAAGCTTTCAAAACTAAATCTTAATCGATTAGATATCTGGCGTCGCCTGAGCTAGGGACGGAATGAATATGTAAAAGTTCCGCAACAGGGACCACAATGAAGAAATTGATTTAGTTTCGGTCTCTTAAAATTTGGAAACATGACATGAATGACAAGGGGGGAGGATGTAGGGAACGGCAAATCAGCACTTCGTTTAACATTTTAAATTAAGTGCATTAGATTATTATTTATTAAAATATAAAAATTAAAAGTCATTAATTCTCTTCATTTTTGACATGCGTGTTCGTTCTCACAACAGCTCGGCTTAACCATGGTTCGATAGTTGTACGAAACTGATCATCGCTCGATTAGTGCAAATGCTCATGCCATGACAGCTCCGCAAATTTGTCTAGAATGACAATACTCCACGTACACTGACGACTGTAACACATGTTCAATGTTTAATCTTCAACGGTCTGTATTATCTTTTCTACTTTATGCATGATTATGATCATAGTCTTGTTTTGTTAGTGAAATATTTGGCTCTTTTATCTACAAATTTGAAGACATTTGATTAGCGATAAGAGAAATACAATGGCAAAGAGTAAAAAAAGTCAAATGTTACAGTTTTGCACTGCAAATATTTTTAAACAAATATTTTTATTAAATTTTATTAATAACGGGTCCACAGCCCTTTTGATTTTTTGAGGTTGTTTATATGGTTTGGCATACTTTGCGTGTAGCGTCGCACCATTTCAGGTGGAATCGAGTACCAAACGTCCTTCATTCTCTCTCACAACATTTTCTATGGGATTCATGTCTGGAGATTGCGGTGGCCACTTCATAGTTTGAAACTTTTGGTTCAATAACCAATTTTTCACCAAATGGGATGTGTGCTTTGGGTCATTGTCTTGCAGAAAAATGCAATTTTCAACAGCCAGACCCATTTTGCCAATGACTCCTCCCAAATTTTCTTGAAGAATTTTTAGGTATTGCTCCTTACACATTATCCCATCGATTAACACTAAGGGCCCAAACTCCATTTGTACAAATACAGCCTCAAACCATTATGGACCCGCCACCGTGCACCGCACTGTATTTGCCGATTGGACTGTGAGATTCCTAGTCCAATACCTCGATCGTCCGTCTGACTCAAAACGATTAATTTAGTTTCGTCTGACCAAATAAGCTTGAAAAAATTTTTTTAACATTGTTTAAGCTTTTTATTTGTAACTTACGGCATCCCAATCAGCTAGAGCCCAACTTTCGTGCATTATAGCAAAGTTTCTACGCAAACTAATGTGCCTTTTAGGTAGAAATGGTTTTTTTTCTTTCATTGGCCTTAAGCCCCAATCTGCCAAGACTGCGATGGACTGTCCACTCACTGGCATTTAGATTTAACACATTAGCCGCTTTTATTAGCATAAAGTCGCGATTGCCTGTAACTAAGTTAGCCAAGTGGCGCGTGTCACGTTGGCTTAAAAGTCGCGGTCGGCCTCCTTTATTGATTTTAATGTTTTCTGAACTGTTTTTTTTTTTAACACAGTCATGCGGCTAACACCAAATTTATTAGCCACTTTCCTAACGGATTCGCCCCTATCAATAATTCGATTATTTCCTTTTTCTTTTCATCAGCCATCATAATTATTTTACAAATTGACTTAAAATGGTCAAGGCTTAGCGATTTAAACGAAAACAAATAAGCTTTAATGGTAAAAAAAGCTTTGAAACAAAAGTAAATAGGTTTTGCTCTGTGAGTGCAAAACTGTAACATTTGACTTTTTTACTCTTTGCCATTGTATTTCTCTTATCGCTAATCAAATGTCTTCAAATTTATAGATAAAAGAGCCAAATATTTCACTAACAAAACAAGTCTATGATCATAATCATGCATAAAGTAGAAAAGGTAATACAGACCGTTGAAGTGAGAACATTGAACTTGTGTTAAAGTTTTGCTCGTCAGTGTATATAGTAGCAGTCAGCACAACATTCAAAGGTGCTTGCTCGCGTTTAAAACAAAGTGAACATTTAGTGTCTACATTTTGTTTAAATTGATTTAAATCATTATGAAAAATCTCGCTATGCTAAGTAACATATCACGCGTTTAAATGTACGCGTCTATATGGCTCTTCTTGCCACGTGCTTTTGCCAATTGGCCAAATGTATTGTTTAAAATTTTGTGTCCCTTAACGAATTTCAATATTTCCATATTCTATCGGAATATTAACATATATATTTGAGGAGAATTGCGGAAAAATTTGGGCTTATTAACAATAAGTCAAATTTCAAATTCTATCAAAACATATCATTTTGGCAAGGTTGTTGAGACACCATCACAGAGTCCCGTTCTGAACATTTGTAGGTATACTTATAGAAAAGAGCGGGAAAATGGAATCAAAGGAACCGCATAGTGACAAAAGATCCCTCTTGAATACCTAACGGTAATTTCAATGAAAAACGCCTCCAAATTGTGTTAAATGCTACGAGATGTCAAAGTAATTTTTAAAATTCACATAACATTAAGTTAAGATCAATCAAAGTATTTTGTGTAAACAATTAATAGATAGTTTGACAAATGGATAATTTAAATTATTTTTGTTTTGTTATCCTTTTTATAATTATATAAATACATACCAATAAACAGTTAAGTATAAGAACAATTTCGAAAATTTGAGTAAAAGACTATTATTTTTGCGTCTAAAGTAAATTCCCATTTTCAATGTTTGCAAATAAAGGTATAAGCATTCTGAGGTCTGAGATTAAGGTGTTCATACATACGCCCCGATAAACGAATACACGGATACGGACACGGCCAACATCGACAATAACGTTTTCGGTGTTACAGTTTTAGTCTTAAAAATTGAGAAAATATGTATTTGCTTTTTCATGCTATAAGTGTAATTAATACATGATTAAATTGTCATAACAAGGCATTCTTTTAAGAAATTTTTATTGTTATTATTAACTGAAGAGCGCAGAGTTAATCTTTTTATGGGCATTTGCGGGAATTCATTGTGTGTTAATTGGAAAAGTTAAAATATTGGCGCTTTAATTTTTTTTTAAATTTGTTTTTAATTTATTTAAGCAACTATTTACAGAAAAAATCAAATTAAGATGTATTGCTCCTGTGTGAATTTATAATTATAATTTATAACGCGAAATACATAGAAATATATATGCATGTGGTCAATGTTTTATATACATACAATGTTTAATCTAATATTCGCATTCTCAATTCACGTGTCTTTTTTCATGGTCATTGTAGAAAACATTTCATAACAATAAGTATACCGACAAATGTATTATCATCAACAATCGACTGCACTTACATAAGGGGGCCATTATTATTGAACAACATATACAACTTTATATAAATCTGATGGGTACTTATGCATGCTGTTTAATATAATAATTAAACCATTAAATCAGTGATTTGTCCAAAATGTTTACAATTTTTTTTTAAATATTTCATTATATATCTAATTCATAAATTAACATATTAACTTATGGGCAAGGATTAAAAATAATTGTGTTTAATTAATAACTGCTAAAATAAACTATACTTTTTAGATTACCCTAAAATATGACCACATAAACGGACTAAATTTGGTTAGATCTAAACAAATTTAAAATGATGAATTTAAAATTAATTATTATATACAGATAAAGGCAAAGAGCGTCTAAATGTCGTTTGTTTCATGTTTTTACATATGAAACCAAACAATTTATTGCTAGATAACACACATACATTGCACATAAAATTATTTCCAGTGCAATAACATTTTTAAAATAGAAACATAACTAATTTATTAAGATATCGATCAACCGATTTATAAATATGAGACACCTTGAGATTAATTCATTTTGCCATATTTGCCTCAATGCTAAATTCAAAGTTATTGATTATAACTTGTGGTTTTGAAATAATCTACAGTTTTCAGCATTGGCTTACAGTGCAGTTTAAAGTCTCAAATTTCAGTTGAGCAGGAAAAAATACATTAATGTTGCATATTATTACTAACGGTTTGCGACAGTCACATCGCAAGTGTTTCTTTAATTATCTTTTTCATTGCATTTCCCATTGAAGGGGCTGTCGATCCAGAGGTCGAAAAATCGAATTTAAACAAATAAGGCTGTATATCCGGAAACGATGTATCAAAAATTAAATCTAGCTCATTTTGACTTGGAGTCTTTGGTACATAATCATGACGGTTCATTAGTTCTGTAATGTATATAACCTTCTCTGTGAGTAAGTCTGATACATTTTCGCGGGAAAGCTGACGATCATCCTCGTTCTCATGTTTAATTAAATCCAGATGTACTGTCCACACTTCCCAGGGAATAGACTCCTGTGTAAAAAGCCAGCGATTTTTTTTTTTCTGAAAAAATTCTAAGCTTATCTGACCGGAGCCACAACTGTCACTTGAGCGCAACTTTTCACTAAACATATTGATTGCTCTTTTCACTTTGCGCGCAAGGCTATCCGAAGTACAACAAACATAGGTGAAGTCAATAAAGTCACAATCTACATCGGAATAACCCACGGTACCTATAGAGTATTGCGAGTCTCCTGTATACATATATTTACCCGAACAGCGATGAAAAAGTACTGTATGAAAAATGCTTGCCACTGCTTCATCCACCTGTCGACCTTCCATGGTAAGATCAAATATCTGTGAACGTGCATTCATTGTTAAAATTGTTTCTTATATTTAAGAGGCTTTACTGTGCAGATATATTCGTATACCGGCCCTGCGATTATGTATTAATCTAAATACCGTATTATAAATACACGATCATATAATTTGTCATAAATTAAGTTTACATATATAATTATTTGTTTCCACTCTAAGTTTGATTGCTATCTAATTGCGTTTGTTAAAGCCTTCAATATTTTAATAACCGATTTACTTTCCTCCACTTACAAACTAAGTTCTTTAAAGATTGTATTCATATATTTCAATGTCGTATTACTTGCTTAAACCAAAATTAATCGACTTAACGTAAAGTTGTTGCTTGACATCCTGATTAATTACAAGTCTTGAGTAGAAAGTCTGCATAAAAAATAGATATATCCAACATCTGGAGGTGCTTGGGTATCAATATCAACTCACCAATGTCAATTTCGAAACATTCACCCCTAAGTAGGGTTTGTTATATATACAGATCCTAAAATGTGTGAAAAAATGTTTGCAATTAATATGTTATATTAAATAAAACAAAAAAACAAGTAAGAAAGCTCTAGATCGGGGATACCCCGATCACACATTTGAATGTGTGTGTGCACACGCATAGGAAAAATGCGTGCGCTTGGCGCTGCTGACATGTGCTTTTGCAAATTGGCCAAACGTTTTGTTTAATAACTTAATGGATTTTAATGAAATTTTCAGCATATGATTTACATGTCCCATTGGCTTGGTTGAGATACAAACGCCTTCACATAATGGGCTTAGATCCAACTGAACTTAAATTTTAAGAATTTGGAGCCGGTATCCAAAATCCAAGAAATATCAAAATTGCATAAAATATTCATAAAACTAAATACTAAATACTTTGGAGGCTCTAGCTCTTAAGACGTCCGAGATATAATTTATTAACTACATTTCAATCATGTTTTTATTCGATAACAATTAAATGCGAATAGTTATCGAATATTTGAAACAACTCGACATGCTATACACGGACCTACAAAAAAAATTTCAGTCTCTTGCTCTCATAGATGCTGAGATCCACGCGTTCACACGGACAGACGGGCAGACGGACGGACGGACAGGGCTCAATCGACTCGGCTTGTCGTCCTGATCAAGAATATATATATTCTCAATGGGGTCTGTCACGCTTTCTTCTGCCTGTTACAGCCAGGGTATAAAAATTAAAGCAAATTAGAATTAAAAATAATAAACATATTCTGCATATATTTCAAATTCAAGTCTCTAGCTGTTGTGGTTTACGAGATGAATGCGTTCATGCGGAGGGGCAACACCGGCACTTAACTGTTCGAACACTAAACCGCAAACCTAAACTAAAGTAGCCAAATCAAGCACGCACGCAAATCAAATCACCCCTGTCACTACTGACCGAACAGAGTTGTAAAGTATTTTTTTTTTTAAATAAATGTACGGCGTAAAACATATTATGTAAATGTGGCGAAAGGAGGTGACATTTTTAAGTGATTGTATTGTCTTTTTAAATGTTTTTATTACATTAATGTGTTTTAATTTAAAATTTTTTTCTTTTTTTTATGTGTATATACACATACATATGTATGTACACTTGCCAGAAAAACTATGCGTACAGGCCTAACGAGCGACTTTGATAGAGAATAAATGTGATAAATAATAGTATAATTATCAATATTATATTTTTTAATGGAAAACACTTTAATAACACACATTTATCAACAATTTTTTTTTTATAATATTAAACAGTTTTTTTTTTATATTTAAAATAAGAAAAAAACAACGAAAATTCAGTTAGAAAAAGTATGCGTACAAACTAACAACCCATTGTTTTTAATCGTCGTGTTAAGCTTTTAGTACCGTTAAACAGCATATTACGGTAAAGAAAGTATTAAAGAAGGTCAATCACGTGTTGGTTTGCAAATTTTGTCATTAAGGTGATAGATTTCGTCATGGGCAGAAAAACAAAAGAGATTGATCCCGATCTGAGGAAACTCGTCGTAAAATTACGCGATGAAGGGAAATCTTTCAGAGAAATTGGCGAAATTGTTGGCTGAACTCATTCTTCTGTCCAAAGAGTAGTCAATAACTTTAATTTGACTGGCTCAGTTAAGTCAAAGCCACACTCGGGAAGGCCCTCAAAGCTGACCGAGAGAGGGAAGAGGGACGTGCTGAAGACTGTGCTGCTAAACCCTGGATTAACTGCAGCAAAGATTAATCAGGAAGTTAAACAGAAGTACAACAAAGAGCTTCACGAAGACAGCATAAGAAAATTTTGAAAGAAAAATGAAATAAATGCCCATGTTGCTCGAAGAAAGCCGCTCATCTCTGAGCCAAATAAAATCGAGCGGCTGGATTTCGCCAGAAAATACTTGGAAGTCAGTCCAGACTATTGGAACCAAGTAATTTTTAGTAATCAGAGCAAATTCTGTATATTGGGAATCAAGGGGAGAAAGCTTGTGTGGCGAAAGAGGGGCACAGCGTTCGATGTCCAAAATCTAGCTCCAACCGTTAAGCACGGCGGAGGTGGCGGAATGGTGTGGGGGTGTACGGCAGCAATTGGAGTGGACAATTTGGTTTTTATTGAGTCCAAAATGAACCATATGGATTACCTCCATATATTGAAAACCAATTTGCACCAAAGCGCCAGACAATTGGGTCTTGGGGAGGACTTTTTCTTCCAACAGCACAATGACCCCAAACACACAGCCCACAATGTGAAGCTCTGGTTGCTCTACAATACTAGACACCAGCTTCATTCGCCTCCCCAGTCACGGCACCTTAATCCCATAGAGCATTTATGGGATTTTTTGGAGCGCAGGATCAGAGAGCGAATAATTACATCAAAGGACATGCTCAAATCGGTTCTGATGGAGGAATGGCTAAAAATTCCGCTTGATTTCACCCGGAAATTGGTGGCATCGATGCCAAAACGGTTGGAAGAGACCAAGAAGCGATAGGAGTATCCAACCTCATATAAATTTTGCAAATTCTCATTGAAAAAAAGTTATTTTTCTTTTGTTTTTTAGTTTGTACGCATACTTTTTCTAACTGAATTTTCGTTGTTTTTTTCTTATTTTAAATATAAAAAAAAAACTGTTTAATATTATAAAAAAAAAATTGTTGATAAATGTGTGTTATTAAAGTGTTTTCCATTAAAAAATATAATATTGATAATTATACTATTATTTATCACATTTATTCTCTATCAAAGTCGCTCGTTAGGCCTGTACGCATAGTTTTTCTGGCAAGTGTATATCGTTTGAAACAACAGCTTGACTAAAGTTTAGGGTACCTTGCCTCGAGCATTCCCTGTTTTTTTCTATTTAACTATAGAAATCCCTTTAAGAAATTCCTAAAATATAATCAATAAAAATTATTCAATTGCAATTGAAGCCCAAATTGTACACGGTAATTATTTTAACAATTTTGCGGTAATTGCAGGATTATGTGCTATAGCCAACATGTATATGTATATATGTTTTATCTATGTGGATGTATGTATCCTCTGTAGGGGATACTTTTGCAATTATACGGATTTAAACTAATTCCAGCACGACAAACTGAGATCTCATTTATCCCGAAAAAACTAAATAACTATACAAATACACACTTTTGTTGGCCAATGTTAACAGACCATAAAATGTCAACAAAATCATGTATGATAAAAATAAACCCAAAAATAATTTATAATTAATAATCAACAAAAATAAAATGTCAAAATCGTATATATATTTTGTTTAAATCAAAGTTTTACACTGCGCTTGTGCGCATATTTATATAGACAACTGTGCATGTGTTTTCACGTTGTTGTTGTTAAAATCGAAGACAAGGATTTTATATATGATAAGAATAATATTAAATACGACGAGAACATTTAAAAACATAACAATTAAGAATTTTGTTTTAAAAATATTCAAGACAACAAAGCAACAACTTAAAATGGTTGTATGTTGCACGGGCACATATGTAAATTTAAGCTTACGTACATATGTATGTTTATGAATAATGTATTGCCATTATTTTCTTTTGATACTTTGATTAAATTTTTTCTTTATTGTGCGATTGATGTCTTTTTATGGTTTTGCTTATACTGATTATGCCAAAACTCAATAATTAGTTTGTAAGAGCTGCGTTACCACTTTTATTGTTGCTGTTTTGCTTTAGTTTATTGAATAGGCAAAACACTGCAATAAATGTATCGTTTTTAGAGTATTGGTTCTTCAATTCCCATTTGGTGTGCACACCAAATTTTTAGTTTACTTTCATTTATATTGTCTTGCATTAACATATAAGTTACTAGTTACTTGTCACAAGTATTTCAAGGTATCGATAAAAATTCATGCGCTTATCGACCTCAATAGCATATATGGCTTTTAATTTCTGTAACTGCTATTTTTCCATTGTTTATGTTATATTGGAGATATTTTTTTTAAGTTCATATATATTATTTATTTAAATTATATTTATTTAAATTATTAAAATGACGAGCCACGTTGGTGTTCTCCGAGTTGTATTCTTAAACTAAACTTAAATAATCGTTTATCTACACGTGCAGGATGCCGTTCGACCCGATTAACGGGCTATTGCTGTTCTTGTTGGCAAATCAAATATGTAAAATAAAAAATAATAGAATAATATATAATATAAAAATAATATATAACAGTTATTTATATATAGAACAGGCGAAGGCATCTGCGTGACAATGACAACGATTTGCGACTGCCCAAGAGCAGTGTATTATCAAGACTTAAGTAAAAACCAAAAATATAAATGCATGAGCCTAGCCCAGAGTGTTCTAGATGCTTAAATATGCTTTCCTTGCGGTATGTGCCAGATCTCTGAATCTGAATACTAGATACGTCCATTATCGAGGCAATAGTTTGTGACCGAATGAATGGTCTAGTTATATTCAATTGTAGCTATCAACATAAGGTATGCTGTGTCATAAATTCTAGCACTTATCAATTTGAATTGGTGTACTGTGAAATCGTTCTACTTGACCATTAGAGTTGCTGTGTAGAGGAGGGGCATTAACAATGGATATTCCGAAATTATTTTGTAGTAAAGTTTTAACCGTTTCTGAGTTTAAAGATCCTCCGTTGTCGCAGTACATAGTATGCGGTGCCGGGAAACAATTTATTAACTGCAGGAGCGGCGACTGTGTTTCAACGAATTAAGAAAATTGGTCGATACAGGTTAGGATATATTTTCCATCAGTGGAAAATATATCGACATGTAATATTTCCTCAGGGTATGAAGGAATTGGCATTTCAGTTACTTCATGTTTTGTAGGATGTCTGTCATATTTGGCTTTCTGACAGACCTTGCAGTTAATAACTATTTCGTTTGCGATTTTTTTCATTTTTGGGTAAAAGTAATCTCGCAGAACTTGTTTTACATTTTCTTAAGCTGCACAGTGAGCTCTATTGTGTTCTGTGGTGACTATTTCTAACTGCTCATCTTTGTTAATAAGATCCAGAACAAATGTCTTCAACCAATTGATGGTGAATGTTTGCCAGAACATGCAAATCACATTTGATCCCGTTTACAACATCAGAATTGATTTTTTCTTTTAAAATCAGTAATAGTTTTCTCGCCAAATAAAATGAAGGTACGAGATGACGTAACATTTGCTTTTTCAATAATTATTTGGTTCCTATAACCGTTGACTGGTTTATCCGAAGCTTGGATAGTATAAGTTAACGATAATTAATTGTGTACCGTGCTTTCGCCCTCATCAGCCATATTTGAGATTGTCATTTTCCAACGCATTGATATGCTGACGCGATAATGAATCGGCCACATAGTTTTCTTTTCCGGGCCTTTAAAAAACATTTGCACCATGCTTTGCACCGTGTTATTGTTGAATAAAGGACTTCAATCGCTTTATCTTTGCATTTGAGTTCCTGTCTAAAACAGCAAACGTGACTGGTTGGTGGTCTGTATAAATGTTGAGACACCGATCTCCGTACAAATAATTTTTAAAATTTTTTAACGATCAAACGATGGCCAGCAACTCTCTCTCATTTGTGGCGAAATTAAGCTCCGCTCCCCTAAGGGTCCGAGAGATCATTGTTATGGGCCTTCCGTCTTGTGACAAGACAGCCCCTATCCCTGACGCTGTAACATCAGTAGTAAGGTCAAAGGGTTTTCGAAAGTCTGGGTATTGCAACAGTACGTCTTCAGAAGACAATATCGTCTTTCATTTTTTGAATGTTTTTGAATGGTCTTCATTGTATTAATTCAAAACTTTTCTGGACTGGTATGTACTAACATTACCCTTATCGCATTTTAAGATATATGTTAACGGTTTTTCCATGGACGCAAAATCCTTAACAAAACATCTATAATAACTTGCTAGTCCAAGGAATGAGCTCACACCGAAAAAGGTCTCTGAGGTTTTGTAACCCATAATAATTTTTATTTTGTCAGGGGACGTGCAAATTCCGTTTCTTGAGACAATAAACCCAAGGTATTCTACGCTAGTTTTAAAAAAAAGAGACATCTTCTGAGACTCTCATGTTTGCCCCGGTCAGACGATCTTTCGGAAAATGGAATGATATCGGCCACGTAAACGTGTCAACATTTACCAATTTGTTCCCTTAATACGTCATCGATTTCCCTTTGAAATACGCTTGGCGCGTTTTTTAGACCCGTTGTTTACGGAAAATTTTTAATTGAAAATGTTTTTTCTTGATCCTGTTCTGCAAGATTTTTCTAATGAAAACTAGATTTTAAAACCAATGTCGTGAAAAATTTTGCTTTGCTCATATTGAATTCATTCATAACATTTGGGTATCGGGTAATTATAATCGATGGTGACTGAATTTAGTTATCGAAAATCAATCACCAGCCGTTTTTGTCTATTTCCTTCTTCATCGGTTCCTTTCTTATCAACAACCTAAATTGGATTGTTGTATGGTGACCCAGAAGGTCGGATGATTCCGATACTCAGGAGTTGTTTAACCTCTGAGCTCACGAAATTGGCAACACCCATTGGGTAGCTATATAGTTACGAGAAGACCCTTCGATCATTTGTAGTCCGAATGGTCGCTACGATATTTGTGTTAAATGGGCGAAACTCCTTTAAATCGGCAAATGCGTTAGCTCGTTTTCCGATGTCAGCGTCGTTTATTAAATATTAACATTTTGACATTGGAGGACTCTCAAATGTTCCGTACCAATATCATATGTTATCTGCCGTTTGGCTAGATTGATATTTGCATTTACCTGCTATAACAGGTCAAGAACGATGATACCATCAAAAATGGTTAATATTCTTATTTATAAACCTAAATTCGTGAATAGACTTTACTAAGAAGGGAAAGTCCGCGGGTAAACTCTTAAAACCTTATCACGGTACTATATTGTTTTTCCCAGTTCCCATGTCCACTAACAGAGGAATTACTTTTCCCTCATATGTTTTCTCTATATACGGGAGCTGGGACTTTCCCCTAAAAAATTTACATTGTCATATTCACGTGCGTCATCTTCGCACCTAACAGATTCAACCTCTGTTCGTTCATAGTATTTATTATTTTCCTCTGTTATATCTGAATTTTCTTGAATCAAGTTATTAACTCGCTGATGCTTTGAGCAAGTATATTTGCTTGTGCCACCATTTGCGCGCTTTTACGCCTTTTCCAGTCCTTGATTAGAGTTTGCAATCGTGCCTTGTTTTTGCCCAAATGATGTAGGCTGCCTATACTTTGAAGAAGATGGATCAACGTCCATTGGCTCACTTTGTTCCTGATTACGAAAACCCATTTACCCGTAATCATTTGTCTTCGTATAATAGAGATTTTTTCCTGCATATGAATTTTCCTGATGGTAAGCTTTTTTGTCTTTATTTTGAGGACATTTTTCAGTCCTAATCGTTTTTTTCTTTGTGCTTCTTTCATAACTGCTTGCAAAGGAATAACGCTCATGATTAGCCTCTACCTCATAAGCTAGCGCTAGAGCTGACGGCAAGTCTTTAGGACGAGCCGCAAACAAGACATCACTGAATGACTTCCTAGCTCCTGATATGAACACACATAGTGCGTCTGTTCTATATTTATCATTCATGGCTTTGGCTAAGGAAGTCCTGTGTGTCATGGTGAACTTATTTGTGAATAAGGCTAACTTTTTCTCAACTTGTTCATACTATTCTTGTACAGGTAAGTTTCCTTGCCTGAGCATAAACATTTCACGTTCTAGCAGATATATATATATAGGTCGCTTGTCTGCGAACGTTAAATCGAGTCTGTCAATGATCGCATCAAAGTTTAGCACAGTATTAAACGATGCCTGTTCAGGCATGAGCATTCTGTAGTATACTTAATAACATATTAATAATACCCGAAGCAATGTAGAGTGTTCTACATATAAATGCGTCAAATGGCATATGATTAGCCACTTAAGTGTGGTCTGACCAGCAGCGTGGGAGATGCCGCGTACGCACTTTGCCTAAGGTCTATGCCGCTTGTCTAATGGTTATGCCATATGCATATTAATATATACAAGCTATATATATGAAGCTACACAGAGGGAGAGCATAGTATGTCTCCCGCTTGGAGCTCCACTCAACCGAGAGATGAAATACGCATGAGCCAGGGTATAAGAACTCTTGCTCAGACGAATAAAGATCATTACACAACTGAACACCACCACAGTTATTTGTACTCACAATGCCAATACATTGTTCACTGGCCCTTTAATTTTATTTCTTATTGCTACCGCTTGGTAGTTCTTGGAGCTTCCGTTACATTTGCGGCGTTCCCCTCGAAGCTTGGTACAGATCTCACAACTACTAAGGTCTCGTCACATTTAATATCTGGCAATATGTCTACCTCTTTGTAGACTTCTACTGTGGGAGCTTCCACCCTCAGACTGTCAAGTTGTCTTGTGACATCTAATATTTTGGTCTCTAAATCTGTCTTTTGTGCCGCACCTTTAACGGCGGTTATGACATCCTGTAACTGAGCTGCATCCATTTTTCCTTTACTATTTTATTCTTTACTACATAGAGTTCTTATCTTTTTTTTGTATATTTTTATTGAATTTGTAAAAATAAAATTCTCTCTTTTTTTTTGTTTTTTATTTGACTCATTGGCAATTTCATTTGCAGGGAAAAAATATTTGATTTCAATTCAATTATATATTTTTTTTATACATTTAAATGTATGGTAAATTAGTTTTGTTTATAAAAAAATTTAGCACTAAATGTAAGTAGATTTTGTTACAGTTTTTTTTGTTTAATTATAGAATTACACTACTGATATAACTACTCCAACGCTGCTGTCGATTTGCCGCCGGCAAGTGGT